TTGTTTCATTGCAGATATTTCATTCCTCAAACTAGGCAACTTCATTAGTGCTAGTCTTGTAGAGCTGTATTTTGTCCTTTCATGTGGCAAATAACAATTGCCTATAGATTCGCAGAAGCATGTCTTCAGTGGTATAATTGTTGGCGATCCTGATAGTTTTTAAAACTATAATAAAACACAACAGGCAAATAAAATTTGGTCCTTATTAACACTGGACAAAATAGAATGTACCAAAATTTGTTCCCAGGAGAAAATACATGAAAAAGAAATTACAATGAGATGAATAATGACTGAGTTAATCAAAAAAAATACTCCAGAGTTGTTCAGGACATAAATGATTCGTTGGGGACTGGATTTTGACAACAATTTTACATAACTAGTTTAACTGCCTTTCCAATAGGTGACTCTAAGACTTGTTCACTTGTGTGAACAAGTCTTAGCTCAATCTGCTACTGAAACAAAATAAAGCAATTACGACCACCATTGCCCCTTGAGCAGCATTTTAAAAATAATAAAGGAGATTCTAGTTTCCTTCATAATAATGATAAAATATATATTGATGTGGCATATAGGTGGTAGCAATTTCAGACTTTCAGAATAATAATTCATGCTTGAATGTAGGACTAAATGTGAGCTGATTAAAATAAACACAAATTTGTGGCCTTGGATCATCAATTAATGAGAAAATATTTTGTTTATAGTCAAGATTCAATTACCAATCACAGGATCCTAATTGTCCAAATGAACGACAATTGCTATACAGAGAATGGGCCTATCCTCGAAATATTTTCAAACTGCAACCCTTAGACCTTGTCAGGTAAGTATTAAGGAATGTTATACCATTTCTTATGAGTATTTTATTTTTCTATGAATAATAATCATTTAACAGAAAATAAGCATTTATAATATTGCATTAGGCAAATGTGAGAAAAAGCAAAGATGTGTTTCTTTACACAGTTTATTCAGTATGTAGGCCATTGAACTGCCAATGAGTCTGGCCAACTTGCAATTAAAACATAAATCAAAAACTCAGCTCAAACTCTACTTAGTTCCAAAGCCTGGGACAACTATCAGCTTTTTAATTGTTTCCTGAATGTCATCAGAGCATGAACCATTCAGGCCTCTAGTGTCTAAGTGTATTTTGCATTACTTTATATTTGTATTATTACTTTTAAAAATACACTATTCTTAAAATAATATTTTTAAAAGTTCAGTGGTGATAATCCATATATAAGTAGTCCTTGCTTAATGACTACAAGAGGCCCAGCAACCCCATTGCTAAGAGATGATTGTTAAGTAAGATAGCACATCTGTGAAGGACTTATGACCTCACTTCTCCTGAGGTTCTTTCTTTATTATTATTATTATTTTATTTATTTTCAAAGTGCATATCTATTTACATTTTAATAGTACTGTGTCAAGCATTTACATATATTTACAATTTTTTTCCATATTAAACCTTATTTCTCTTCTATAACCATAAATACAACATTTCCCATACCTCATAAAACTCCGACTCCTCTTTACCTTTCAATTTCCCCGTAAGCCTATCCATTTCGGCACAATCAAGTATTTTATTTATTACCATATTCTCAGAAGGTACATCTTCTGCTTTCCAGCTCTGGGCATAAACAATCCTTGCTGCTGTTATTATGTGCTGTACGATGTATTGGATATGTTTCTTTAAATTTCCTTCAATCATCCCCAATAAAAATGTTTCTGGTTTAAATTCAGTGCCATATCCTGTAATTTCTTGTATCCATTTCCTCAATTTTTCCCAGTATTTTTTAGCTTTGGGGCATTGCCAACACATGTGATGTTATACATGTTCCGTCTGTACGCTTACATTTCCAACATTCTGGTTTCATGTTCGGATATACTGTATTTTTGGCCAATCTTGCCAGTGTCAAATGCCATCTATAAAACATCTTAACTAGGTTTTCTTTGTACACCGTTGACAATGTTAATTTGGAGTTCCTGATCCAAATTCTTTCCCAATCTTCTAACTGTATACTATGTCCTATATTTTGTGCCCATGCAATCATTGGGCCCTTAACTACTACTTCTTCCATTTCTACTTTGAGCAAATAGTTCAAGAAGAATTTTTCTTCTTTACCAGTCAAAATTTGATGTAGTTGTTGGGATTCCCTTTCTATTCCAAATTTCTCTATATCTTTTTTATGCCTCATTCTTATCTGCAAATACGGCCACCAGTCTACAATTATACCCTGTTCTTTTAGTTCTTCATTTGTTTTTAAATTTCCCTGATTATCTAATAATTCCTTATATCTAATCCTCTTTTTCTTCTCCATTGTATTTGGGTAAATCACTGCTTCCATCGGTGACACCCAGTCCAGTAGTTTCATGTAGTATTTCCTCCTTAACTTTTTCCATGTTGTTATTAATGAGTCCCTAACTTGATGGTGATAAAAATATGAATGTATCCTTACTCGTTTACCCCACAAGAAGGTGTGTGAAGAAGGTGTGCCATCTTGTGTGAAGGTCATGCCCTTCAACTGTTAATACTGTCATATTATCTAAGTTTATCCATTCTTTGATCCAGAGTAAGACTACCACCTGGTAATATAGCTCCCATTTTGGAAGTCCTAGGCCACCTCTGCTTCTACTATTTTGTAATATTTTTGCATTGATTCATGCTTTCTTTCCCATCCATATGAATTTGAGCACCATTCTATTCAATTCTTCGAAAAATTTTCAATCTAATTTTATGGGGATTGTCTGAAATAAATATAACAATTTTAGTAGTATATTCATTTTTATTGTGGCAATTCTGCCCATCAACGATAGTTGCAACTTTTTCCAACTCTCTAAATCTTATTTGATTTGTAACATCAATTTCTTATAATTATCTTCCTTTATGGTCGAACATCATCCTGTAAGCCAAGTCCCCAAACATCTAATCTTTTTTTCCACTTCTAATCCCAGTTCTCTTTCTAATCCCTTCTTTAGTTTTTCTGTTAAATCCTTTACTAACATTTTTGTTTTTTCTTTATTAATTTTTAGTCCTGCCACTAGTCCATATCTTTTTATTTCTCTTATCAAATTTATCCCTGTCCCCATAGGTTCCTCAATGAAGAATACTAAATCGTCCACAAATGCTTGCATTTTGTATTCCTGATTTTTAATGTTTAGTCCTTTTATTTCCTCATTTTGCCTTATTTGAGTTAGAAGCACTTCTATCGTTAATATAAAAAGTAGAAGTGATGTAGGACAACCTTGTCATACTCCTTTTTTAATTCCAAATATTTCAGTGCAGTCTCCATTTACTATCACTCTAGCTTTTTGCATAGCATATATTATACTAATCATGTTTTCAAATTTTATTCCAAATCTCATACTTTTAGTTTGTTGAATCAAGAACTGCCAATTAAGGTTGTCAAATGCCTTCTGGACATCCAGGAAGATTAGTGCCACCTGTTTCCCAGGATGTGCCTCATAATATTCTAAAATGTCTAAGACCATTCTTGTATTGTATTGTTGTATTGTAATTTGCCTCACTGGCAAAAAAAACATTCTGGTCTGGATGTATTATTTCATTTAGCACTATCTTCAATCTTTCTGCCATTATTGTGGTAAAGATTTTATAGTCAGTCATTATATATTCAGCAGCGAGATCAGTCTATAATTTTTTATATATTTGGAATGAGGGAAATATCATTTTCACTCTTTCATTTTGAGGTTCTCTTTGTAACTTATATTCTAATTCTCTAATCTCTGTCATTAATTTTTCCAGCTGTTGCCTCCTTTCCCTGTTTCTTTTTGCTGTATACCCCTGAAATATGCTTTTGCTATGTCCCATACTATCTGAAGTGAGGTTTGTTGATTTTGATTTTCCTTAAATAACATTTCCATTTCCTTTTTTATCCTTAAAGTATATTCTTTTTTTTTAGAATTTGGGGATTTAATGTCCATCGTCTCATTTTTTTTAATATCCTTTCCAAATTATTGTTAATGGATTGTGATCGGCCCATGGGTTCATCATAATTTCTATCTTGTCCACCTCATTTCCTAATTCTCCATTCATCCAGACCATATCCTTGCAGGACCATGATTTATGTGGGTTTGAATAAAAAGTATATTTCCGTCCTTTAGGATTTATCCTCCTCCATTGATCAACCAAATTCAATTCTTGTGTTATTTCAAAAAATGTGGCTGGTAATATTTTCCTTTTCTTTTTTGACAAATTGCCTACATAGTCTTTCTTTGGATCTACCACTGCGTTATAATCACCTACAACACATATATTTTCATATTCTAATTCTACATTTTTTTCATGAAGTGTTTTATACAATTCTTTTTGGTTCTCATTTGGGGCGTAGATTATTACCAATATCATTAATTTTTGTCTGTAGTTCAATTAACAGGATCCTTCCATTTTCATCTGCATATTTTAGCTTCACTTCTAACCTTGCATTTATATAAACTGCTAGCCTTCTTTGTTTATGTTTTGCTAGAGTAGTATATAGCTTCCCTAATCTGGAGTATTCTAAACAATCCCTATGCTGGTCTTTTATGTGCGCCTCCTGTAAGCAGATAATGTCTGTTTTTTCTTTAACCAATCTTTTAAGTGTTTGTTTCCTTTTAGCTGGAGAGTTTAGCCCATTAATATTTATTAATATTAGCCGAATTTCTTTATCCATTGACTTAGTAGTTTGGCTTCTGTCTTCTATTTATTCTAGTATTCCCTTGTGGTTGTGTCCTTCATTCTCTTCCCTCTGCTCCTTTTTGTTCCTGTCCTTTCTTACTTCCTCCTTCTTTCTCTACCTCTCTTATCTCTTGTGGCTGATCTTCCTGGCTCCTGAATTCCAGTTCTTCCTTGCTGCTGTTCTCTTCTTCCTCCCCTACTATTTGATCACAAAATTCCCTTGCTTAAGTGACCTGTGATTAAGAGAGACATCATTTGATCACAATATGTGATTGTATGCCAAATTCTCCATTTACTCTGTTTGTGAAACATGCAAATAGCATGACTATAGGATGCTGTATAAGTTCTAAATAGAAGAAGCAGTCCTAAAGTTATATTTTTAGCATTTATAACATCAAATGGTCACTAACCAGGATAGTTGTTAAGCAAGGACTGCCTATGACTATAGAACATAAGTTACAGGAAAAAAAATCATATGAATCATATTATATCTTCATAAATAAAGAATGTTGGGTTCTTGAAGAGTTCTTGGAAAAATAAAGTTCATGGTGGTGGATACAGTACCTGATTATTCACAATTGGAACTGCAATTATGAGAGTCTTACAGCACTTCCAGACTGAAATTCACAATGTGTGATGTGAAAAGATTATCCCAGTGATAAAATAAATGTGAGAGTTATTATTTCAAGTAATTCCCGTATATCACAGTTTATTAAATAGAGAATTGCTTTTCCAAGGGACTGAATGGAAAGAAATGAAAACCACACAGACTTATATATTTAAGTATATATTTTCATGTGACAACACTGAAGAAATGACACTTGGCTACAATGTAGTGAGTATACAGCTTGTATAACAGTATAAATGTGCTATCCCTTCAAAATAACGCAACATACAACCATTAATGTCTAAACCACTGACAACAAAAGTGAGTACACCCCTAAGTGATAATGTCCAAATGGGGCCCAAGTAGCCATTTTCCTTCCCTGGTGTAATGGGACTCATTAGTGTTAAAAGGTCTCAGGAGTGAAATGGGAACAGGTGTGTTAAATTTGGTGTCATCGCTCTCACTCTCTCATACTAGTCACTGGAAGTTCAACATGGCACCTCATGGCAATAAACTCTCTGATGATCTGAAAAAAACAATTGTTGCTCTACATAAAGATAGCCTAGGCTATAAGAAGATTGCCAAGACCCTGAAACTGAGCTGTAGCACAGTGGCCAAGACCATACACCAGTTTAACAGGACAGGTTCCATTCAGAATAGGCCTTTACATGGTCGACCAAGGAAGTTGAGTGCCTGGGCACAGCATCATATCCAGAGATTGGCTTTGGGAAATAGATGTATGAGTGCTTCCAGCATTGCTGCAGAGGTTGAAGGGGTGGGGAGTCAGCCTGTCAGTGTTCATACCATATGCCACACACTGCATCAAATTGGTCTGCAGGGTTGTCATCCCAGAAGGAAGCTCTTCTAAAGATGATGCACAAGAAAGCCCACAAACAGCTTGCTGCAGACAAGCAGGCTAAGGACATGGCTTTCTGGAATCATGTTCTGTGGTCTGCTGAAACCAAAATAAACTTATTTGATTCAAATGGTGTCAAGTATGTGTGGCGGCAACCAGATGAGGAGTACAAAGACAAGTGTGTCTTGCCTACAGTCAAGCATGGTGGTAGGAATGTCATGTTCTGGGGATGCATGAGTGCTGCCAGCACTGAGGAGCTACAGTTCATTGAGAGAACCATGAATGCCAACAGGTATTGTGACATACTGAAGCAGAGCATGATCCCCTCCCTTTGGAGACTGGGTTGCAGGGAAGCATTCCAACATGATAATGACCCCAAACACACCTCCAAAATGACTACTGCCTTGCTAAAGAAGCTGAGGGTAAAGGTCATAGACAGGCCAAGCATGTCTTTACACCTAAACTCCATAGCATCTGTGAGGCATCCTGAAACAGAAGGTGAAGATGTGCAAGGTCTCTAACATCTACCAGCTCCGTGACATCGTCATGGAGGAGTGGAAGAGGACTCCAGTGGCAACCTGTTAAGATCTGGTGATCTCTGTGCCCAAGAGGGTTAAGGCAGTGCTGGAAAATAATGGTGACCACACAAAATATTGAGCACTTTGGGCACCATTTGGATATTATCACTTAGGGGTGTATTCACTTTTGTTGCCAGCAGTTTAGACATTAATGGCAGCATGTTGTGTTATTTTGAGGGGACAGCACATATACAGTTATACAAGCTGTATACTTACTACTTTACATTGTAGTCAAGCGTCATTTCTTCAGTGTTGTGACTGAAGTGTTGTGAAAAGATATACTTAAATATTTACAAAATGTGAGAGGGTGAACTAACTTCTGTGAGATACTGTAAGTTAAAGTAGAGCCTAGAGCACAATGGCACAGTGGTTAGAAGGCAGTATTGTAGGATAATGCTACCCACAGCCAGGAATTCGATCCTCACTGGCTCAAGATTGACTCAGCCTTCCATCTTCCCAAGGTCAATAAAATGAGGACCCAGACTGTTAGGGGCAATATGCTGACATTATAAACCAGTCAAAGAGTGCTGTAAATCACTGAACTAGTATATAAACCTAAGTGCCATTACTATAGCCAAATACTTTTACTCAAAAAGACCCCAAATATTCATAAAACAGTTTGGAAGTTTGTTGGAGGTAACCAGACAACAAAGAAAATCATCTGATGCTGATGTTGCTCATGAATTCAACATTGAACAAGATGTAGTAGTAAAGACTGATTTGTCTTTCTTAGATTCTCTTAGATTCCCTATCAGGATTTTTTTTTCTTTCTCTCATGGCATAGAGCAGAGTTCTTCAACCTTTTTGGTTTTGCAGACCAGTGACGGGGAGGGGAAAGGGGGATGGTTCCACATGAGCAGCAGGAAAGCACATGCACATAGCTCCGTTTATGCAAGTGGGGATGCGCATGCACATTCATGCATTCACCTGCCACTTCCATGGCCTGGTTTTGAATGGCTCAAGGTCCAGAGGTGGGCCTCATCTTGAGGTTGGGGACCCCTGGCACGTTTGTCTCCCACTGTAAATAAGACAAAAGTCACACAATCAGTTTTGAAATAGCTTAATTAGATTCAGAAGAATTGCAAGATAGAAAACAGCTGGTCATCTAGGATACTATTCCTTTTGAGCAAGCTTCCATTATTTTAACATCTGTTTAATGAGAATGCATACATGCATACAACCCATTATGCTATTCCCATTAGGGGGAACTATATGTTATGCACAACATAGAAAAAGAAAAATGTAGTAAGCAAAAGAAGTTAAGGTGTAAGGGAAAGGAAAGGAAATATAAACTTTAGTTTTCAACAGCACCATTCATTAAATCTCTCTATAACCTTCTGGAAATTATCATTTCTTTCAATTTGTCCATACAGAGATTGTCTTTTAATATTTGTTAATGTCATATTTAGTTATTGTAACTTAGAATAATTAAGGCCTTGCTATTTAAAAAAAAATAACCTTAATTACTTTTGAGTGATCCTGGACTCATTCTTAAACACAGAAATCAGTGTAGCACAGGAGTGCATTATAATGCTTTCTTCTTAAATATATAAGAAACTGGTTTTATTAATAAAGGAAATACACATCTATATATTCAAAGGATGTTGTTGTGTCCATAGGAAATATTACGGTGAGAAAATTGGGATCTATTTTGCCTGGCTGGGATTCTATACCCGGATGTTACTTCTGGCAGCAATAGTTGGTGTTGGATGTTTTTTATATGGATATTTCACAAAGGATAACTGCACTTGGAGGTAACCTTATGGTTCATGTTTCTTGTGTTATTTATAATCATGCATAAAGATCTTAGCTCCTAATTAGACCTGACCATTCTCATATAATAATTTATTCTTTTTAGTTCATATAGGCTGCAAATTCTACATATACATCTCAGAGAATAATAAATACATACTGAATTTCATGGTCAAAACAGTAAGGATATAGCAGAAGCATCTTCTCTTTTCTTCTTTGATGGATCTTGGAATTGATTTCCATAGGAATGAAATTGTGTAAAGTATCTACAGGGAATTTTAAATTAGGGCTTAATGGGGAAAATAGGATTTCGGAAGAAGAGAGATACTGCCCTTTCTTTGCCACTGGAATTCCCCATTTGAAGAGGTAACCTCAGCAGAGACAGGGAAGAGACTTGTAGAATTTTGGCCAACGTATCAGGGACATCACTACAGACTTTCAACAAAACTATCCCCTCCCTCATATCTACAGATTTTTAATCCTACTCTAATCACTTTTAGCTAGGTGATCTGGACAAGCAGATTTGTGTTTTTTTTTGTAATGTTTTTTTATTTTTGAATATGCATCAATATCATTATATGAACAGTGAGGCATCAGGGTATCTTTAATTTAAATACAAATAATAATATTAATATATGTTACATTAATCATATTTATGTAATTATGGTGTTATACATATTTGTATTGGAGTATGTTCCTTTATTGTTTAGTTGTTCAGTGTTTTGTGTGCCATTTCAATAACAATCACAATATTATTTAAATGTACATAGTGATACCATCTTTCAACATCTAATCTTTACAACTAGTTACTGTATTACTTTTAATATATTATATAAAAATAAGTATAATAATATTCCCCCTTGATCTTGTTTCTACCTCTATTCTAGCTCTCAATAAAGCCAATCTTATATTAAACAATCTTATATTATTCTAACTATCATCTCTTGTTCACTTTAGTATTTCAATTCTTATTCGTTTTTTGACTTGCCTCCCAAACTCCTCCCTTGGGTCTTTGTCTACATATTTCCTATTTAACCCAAATATTTCTTCTATCTCTACTATCTTTTGCTGCCATACCTACAGAGGATCTGCCTAAGCTCCCATCTTCTCTTCAAAAATATATTTCTTTTTATCCAATTCCATTTTTTGATCTCTTAATATATATTGTGCCTGATTTGCTTCATAAGTCTTTATTGCCTTCTCTTTCTTCTCTTCTTTTATGTGTTGATTTATCTGTTCTATCTTTTTTTCTGGACTTTCTATTATCTTCTCTATTTCCTGTGTTTTATTATCTTTATTCGTTATCCCCTGTTGGACATTTTCTGATTTCCCCATAATGTCATGCATTAAGTCTTTTATCTCCCTGTGGTTCTTTATCAACATATCATAGGTACTTTTTAGCATTAACACCATTTCTTTTGAAATCCACTCATCTCCCCCTGATGAAACATCTTGTCTTATTTTGGTAGGTCCAAATATTGCTCAATAGACTGTCAGTAGTCTGTCACTGCCCCAAAGTCTCAATTGTCTATGACCTCAGAAAGCCATCTTAGGAACTGTTTGCTCAATCCCGGCATTGCTCCTCAGGGGAATGCAATAGTTATAGTTCTTTGTGTCCCACAGTTACTCAAGTAGTTCCATTTAGATAATCCAGGAAGATTTCCAAATATCTCCTTAAGTTCACTCTGTAAGTTCATAGATCCTGGCATTTAAAAGTCACTTTCTTTAGATGTCTTCCATAATCTCACAGTTAAAACTCCAATAGCCATGGAGTAAGCAAATATAGAACAGTAGGTAGCACAGCTACCAGGTGTTATTTATTTCCCCTTTATCTTATCAGTACTTTCGTAAGGTTGTAGGAATTTGATATATATTCCATTCACCAGTAGGTGGTGCCTTCAGCTTAAATTTCAATGTTGCACAAAATCTGACAAATATTTATTTCAGATTTTTGCAAATAGTCAATATAGAGACAAATGATTCCAGCATTTTAAAATGCCTTACCAAAATATTGCCAATAAAGTTTAAAAATCCAATTCTCTATATTTTAAAGATTTTGCATTTTTCCTTTATTTCTTTTTCTTTCAGGTCTGTAATTTTTCTCTCTGTAATTATTCACCACTTTGACAAGCATTTCAAAGTCTCTTTCCTAGGGTGTATTTTTGGGGGGGTTAGGCTCTAGGTAAAAAAAGAATAACCTCACCTATTTCCAATCACTGTTCATCTACACTACTTCAGCACATTCTTTGTTTCTTCAGCTGCCCCAGCTTCATGGCAGCAATAATGGCTGCCTCTCCTCTTTGTCGTTGGATGGGAGGTAATCCCTGGGTCTAGCTGGAGAGCTGCCACTCTGCACAACCTGAGGGTTCCCCCTTCTTTCTTCATCACCCCTACAGAGTGACTTTAGCCCCTTGGGGGGCCCTCCAATGAGGAGAATTTGGCATGAGTTCATGGAGCCCCACTCCTCATGTCCGATCTTGCTGAGACATCAAACTGGAACCTGGACAACCATAGTTTTATTGGTTGTGCCTGACTAGCCATGCATAAGATTGTATCACTCAATATTTATGCTAGCTTAATCTAAGTCAATTTATTATTTCAGTTTTAGGTGTTCTTTTAAAAATTTAAAGGTATATGGTATCTTTTTACTATTTATTCAGTGAAAAACTACTAAAATATGCTGAGAATGAGGAATCTGCACTGAATGATAATATACATTCTGGGGGGGAAATACCATCTATGACAAATGTACTAAACTTCTCTATTCCTCAGAACATTTTGTGTCATTATATTTATCAATATCATTTTGAGATATTAAGCATTTTATCTTGTGTTTGCCAGAAGAATATACAGAAATATCAATTCCTAATTAAAATTAGAAAGCATTCTGCTGTGAATGAATAAACCATGTGATTAAAAATAAATAAAAAATAATATCAGGAAGATAACAAAACAGAATAAAGGAATATCAGGAACATCAAAATAAATGGAATTATTTTTGGCAAGAGGTCCTAGGACAGCTGTGTAAAAGCTATCGAAATTATGTTTTTCTAGTGCACAGTTCAAGGCGAACCATCATTGAACTGAATTGGAAGAGACTTCTTGAACAGATGATTCACAAAAAGAAAATTATGGGTGGGGAAAGACCTCATCATCAATGCTACTCACTTATCACATATTTTGCTTGTATTTTGCATATCGAAAAAGGGGACTGTAACTACAATGGTAGGACCACAGTACTTATTAAGTGGAAGATGATCAGAACAGTAGTGATCAATGAAAACTATGAATTTAGCAGTCCATCCATTGAGTTTCATAATGTGTAAGATGGATTTATTCATTCTTTCAGTCAAGAAGTATGTGATCCAAACATAGGAGGTAAGATTATTATGTGTCCACAATGTGATGAAGAATGCACATACTGGAATCTCAACATCACATGTGACTCTTCCAAGGTATTTTTCCTTCAGCATTAAAAAAATATTACTGTGACATAAAATGCTGTTTTGAAATAAACTGTAAGTATGTGGAGAAGGAAGAATATGAGATAAGTAATAAACATAAGAAGTGTAACTAATCAGCACAACCCTTAGTACATAGTTTTTTAAAAAAATTAATCCAAATAGAAGTCATAACCACCTGAGAGTTTCTGTAAACGTACAAGTGAAGTAAGCTTCTATACACAATGATCTGTCCCCAAAAGATGTACTTTCTGTGCAGAAAGACTTCCAGAGCTTGGGGTATGAACTTAGTAGTATGGGCTGTAGGCTTATCTTTTCAGAGGTTCTACCAGTATACAAGGAAGAAAAAGGAAAAGGCCAACATATAGCAGAGTTTAATGTGCGGCTAAAGGAGTGGTGTAAAAGGGAAGGCTTTAGTTTTATTAGTCATGATGTCTGCAGCTGGTCCAATGAAAAACTATACAAAAGAGATGGTTTGCATCCATCAAAGAAAGGGACTGGGTTACTTGGCATTAAATTCACAGATTTTCTGGATAAACATTTAAACTGAACAGTGGGGACAGAGAACTAATGGATACAGAACATTTCTGTCCCCAGCAATCTAAAATTAATAAGGATACCAGTGCATGTAACATAGATGTTTGTGGAGGTAAGAATATCAACCTTGCTGTCGAACAAAACCAAGCATTTAATAGAGATCTGCCAACATCTAGAAACAAGTAAAATAATAGCAGTCAGCAGAGGTTTGTTAAAAAGAGATTGTGCCAAACCAATATTATTTCATTCTTCAACATAATGACTAAATTAGTAGACCAGCAAAATTCTGTGGACATAATATATTCAGATTCCAACAAAGCATTCGATAAAATAGACCACAACCTACTTCTTGGTAAGCTAGCAAAAAGTGGAATAGATAGCACCACCACTAGATGGACTCGCAACTGGCTCACAAACCGTACTCAATGAGTAGTCCTGAATGGGTCTAAGTCTACATGGAAGGAAGTAAACAGTGGGGTGCCACAAGGTTCTGTTTTAGGCCCAGTACACCCTCATCTAAGTCGTTAATGAAGATATTGAATATCTCAATATCTTCATTAACGACTTAGATGAGAGAATAGAAAGGGAACTTACCAAATTTGCAGATGATACTAAGCTGGCAGGAATAGCTAACACCCAAGAAGATACGCTCAAGATTAAGATGGATCTTGACAGACTAGAACACTGGGCCGTATCTAACAAAATGAAAATCAGTGTAGAGAAAAGTAAAGTCTTATACTTAGGCAAGAAAAACCAAAAGTACACATATAGACTGGATGAAACCAGGCTCAATAGTAGTAATTGTGAGAGGAATCTTGGAGTCTTAGTGGACAAACAGCTAAATATGAGCCAGCAGTATGCAGCAGCAGCCAAAAAAGCTGAGGCAATCCTAAGTTGCATTAACAGAGGGATGCAACTGAGATCAAGTGAGGTACTAATACCACTCTATAAAGACTTAGTAAGACCACGCCTAGAGTACTGCATCCAGTTTTGGACACGACATTATAAAAAAGATGTTGAGACTCTAGTAAAAGTACAGAGAAAAGCAACAAGGATGATTAGGGGACTGGAGACTAAAACATATGAAGAACGGTTACAGGAACTGGGCATGGCTACTCTAGTGAAGAGAAGGACCGGGGAAGACATGATAGCAGTGTTCCAATATTTGAGGGGCTGCCACAGAGAGGAAGGGGTCAAGCTGTAATGCACCTGTAGTCCAGACAAGGAATAATGGATGGAAACTGAATAAGAACAGATTTAACCTGGAAATAAGGAGAAACTTTCTGACAGTGAGAACAATCAACCAATGGAACAGCTTGCCCTTGGAAGTTGTGGAGGGTCATTACTTGAGAATTGGAATGAGAGATTGAACTGCCATTTGTTAGAAATGGTATAGGGTCTCCCGTTTGGGTGTGGGGGTTGGACTAGATCAGGGGTCTCCAACCTTGGCCACTTTAAGATTTGTGGACTTCAACTTCCAGAACTCTGGGAGTTGAAGTCCACAAGTCTTAAAGTGGCCAAGGTTGGAGACCCCTAGACTAGATGACCTACAAGGTCCCTTCCAAATCTGATTATGTTATCTGTGTACAGCTGAACAGACTGGGCTTCATGAAATCATCTTAATAAAGCAAACATTCCTCTTGTAAGGGAAATGTCAACTTAATTTCATTCAATTTCTCATTTCCCAGTCCTAAATTTGCTTTAGGCATTGAACATAAGTTTGCAATTTTAAAAAGAGTAGGAAATAGTATTAAATTCTAATATTTTATATGTATTTTTCCTGAATAGAAGTATTTTAGTGCATCTTCATAACATACATATTTTTGCAAATCATTTTTCTTTAGCACATTTTCTTTTTTTTTGTCATTTGCTCAAATATATAAGTCTGATTTTTATGATTGGAGTTATAAAAAGATTATTTGGGTTTCATTTTACCTCCAAGACACTAAGATGGGGATCTCCCCATTTTATCCTCACACCAATCCTGCAAAGTTATTTGATGTGAGAGAATGATTGGTGTCAATCAACTAATGATTCCAGGGTTGAATGGATACTAGTATCTAAGGAAAGTTGGGTTTTCCAGTTTGAAAAGTTTACATTGACATTCCTACTCACAATACAGTTGACAAATATTGTGGGTCTGTTCTCAAGGAACATAATAATCCTTTTCTTCTTTTAAACTTTAAAGGGTCATATTACAACATTATGATTTTATCATACAAAAAAGTTACACCAGAAATTGGCAGATTAAAATAGTGAAATCCACAAAAACCATCTTTCCATATGATAAGCTTATTATATAATTTATGTTCTACTAGAAGACCATCTGTTTCAGGGGTGGGATTCTATCAGTTCTGTCCAGCTCTGCAGAGCCGGTATCTCTGAAGAGCAGCTGTTGTTGCTGCTGTTTAGGTCCACCCACCCGCCTGGGCTCTTACCTGACCTTTATTTCTTGCTTTTTCAACCTCAGCTGCTTTGTGCAGCACAGCTGCAGTTGAAAAAGCAGAAAAAAGTGCTTTTTCAAACGTTGCGCACCTGCGCACAGCGCTGCTCAGCTATCCAGGCAGCAAGCTGATAACGTTTCACATGCACGTGCAAAACGTAAATCACCGAACCGGTAGTTACACCAGTCGGATCCCACCCCTGATCTGTTTGCATGAGAAGAATGCAACAGTTAGAAAGGCTGATCTGTGGCATTATTTTTATTGATTCATGTTATCTTTTGATACAATTGCATATACATCAACAAACAGCACAGCACACCCTTTTAGGCTACCTGGCATACATATTTTCCTCAAGCAAACAAATGGGCAGGGCTGTCAGCTATCAGCTGGGGCCCCAGGAGGAGATTCAACCATTTCCGTAATGAAGACCATTGTCAGTCACTGTGTATATAGTGCAGTGAAGCAATGATTGAATGCATAATGTAATAACATGTAATAAAAATATATGCACATGACAACCAAATGATAAAATCTTCAATGACAGCAGAAGAGCTAGTGTTAAAGAATCCTGTATTATATATTAAGCCATTTTCCCTTCATGTTTTTCAGAAACTCTGTATATTTGACAGCTTTGGCACATTAGTGTTTGCAGTGTTTATGGGGATTTGGGGTAAGCTAACTTTTTTGTTTTGCATACTGAGGTGATTAATTCAATAAAATGGGACAAGGTGTCATTTATGTTTATGAGACACCTCAATCATTATTGCAGAATTGGTATAATATTTGAATTTGTACAATGGACAAATGTCAGCAAATCAGCCTAAGGACTTGGCATGCAAAAGGAAAACTAGGAGCATTCTCCTGCACAGCTGTGTACATAGAAATTAATCAGCCTAAAAGCTTCTCAATTTCCCTGGTTAGCTCTCCTTGGCACTCCTGAAAAGAGAGGGAAGAAAACAGATCTGAATCCTGTAACAATCTTTTCCCTGAACTTACAACTCTTCCTATGAAAAAGGGAATATGCCTAGAACAAGATGTCCAACCTTGTTAAGACTTCAACTCTGAAAATTCCCCAGCTATTCCATTCTGGAATTGCCTCAATCCAGATGCAATATATCCTTGATAGAAAAAGCCTTGTTGCAATCAAATTGCTAGTTCATCTTTCTCTCTTCAAAAAATAAGCTACAAGAAATTGAGTTCACAAGCTAGGGAAGATGTAACTGAACATGTTTTTAAAAAATCTTTTTTTAAAAAAAGAGTGGGAAGAAGTACATAAAATGGCATGGAACTGTTCCAAGTGGCAACAATTTGACTTTCACTCATACAATATGTACTGATTGTTTTTCTTGACTTATTCTTTGATTAGTTAGCTTGTTTTTGGAGTTTTGGAAACGACGCCAGGCTGAATTAGAATATAAATGGGACACGGTTGAGTTTTTAGAGCAAGAGGAACAAATACGTCCAGAGTATGAGGCAAAATGCCACCATGTAATAGTGAATGAAATTACACAGGTAATTGTATTTACAGTTTTAAACATTTTAATTAAAAAAGATAGTTCACTCAGTTCTTCTTTTCTAATTACCATGGCTGCAAGTGTATAGTCATACAATATACAAACATTGCAACAGAGGGATTATTAAGTTTCAATAATGCTGAGCAAAAGGCAGCTTAGAAAACTTCTTCTCTTGACTCCTACCACAGTCTAGTCTAGTGGATGATGACATTGTTTCTCTTTTACCTATGTAAACAGGTAAATGGTGGTGATAGAAATAGCATCTCTTTGTCAATTGATCTGCAATGTAAAGGTGTCAATTAAAGGGGCAGCAGGTGTGTGGTCTTTAGATTGACTTGTCTAAAATGATCTTTAAAATTACATGGGCAATGGAACCGAAGGCCACTTGCTTCTTGTATGAACTGTGTGCCGTTTACATTTTTTTATCTATATGAGTTAAAGTGGCACATGGCTACGCAAGGCTGCATAGCAATAAACTTCTTTCAGATGCCAAGTTTGGGGTTTTCCTTGGCCATAGGCTTTTGGTGGCAAAGTTCCCATGGTAACACTGCTACTATGGGTATGGTATCCTGCTTTGACCACAGAATACACAGTAGGGGTGATGATATTTGAAATAAAAATGGGCTCTTCTGACTTTTACTAAGTAAATCACATAGGAGGGAAAGAGGCAGAGAGACCATGGAGATCTCTAATTGCTGCTCTTTCATTTAGATTAATATCTCCCTTGCAGCAACGCCAGTTTACCCTCATTCTGATTTGGTTTTCAGGTGCAGAAACTTGGGCATAAGTGCACGTATTGGCCATAAACTATTTTTACTATTGTTTATTACCATCAATTGGTTGATGGTAATTGCAAATGGTTGCTCAATGGGGCAGTTGCTAATTAAGGACTACCTGTATTTCAATCTCCAGCTTTAAAAACTTAGGTAAAATGTATCAACTCAATTTCTCCTTTTTCTTCTCTTTCTCTCTTTCTCTGTTAAAGCTATAAAAACTTTTTTGTTTTTCTTGATTTCTTAATTATAGCAAAAATATCCTGAACACAAATATCATTTTGGGTATCTGTCATATACAAATTATTATTGTTTTCAATTCATGGGTAGGATCTGACCAGCATAACAGGGTTCAGGGAGCACACACATGCGCGTCAAACATGCGCTGCACGCATGTGCATGCTACCGGTTCCGGGAAGCATTTACCTTCTCCAACTGACAAGCGGCACACAGCTGTGTTGCGCAAAGCAGCTGAGGAGGAAAACGCAGCCACTAAAGGATAGCCTAGAGCCCAGGCGGGCAGGAGGGCCAAACAACAGACCAAAACCTCATCCCAGCGAACCAGTTCAGTGTCAGCTACTCTTCAGAGCTACTGGTTCTATAGAACCAGACTGAACCGATAGGATCCCACCCGATTCAATTTCATTTGCTAATGATGGTGTATGCCAAAATAAAGGGTATTAGCACATTGCATTTTTCTTATTGTTTAATTGCTGGAGTTGTATATGAAAAATAATTCTTCAAAAATTATATTTGCTATTATATTTTAATAAAAAAATTAATAAATTAAGGTATAAATGAAATAAATGTTTGGAAATAAAAAATTGCTGTTAATAAAAACTGTTTCCATCAATTAATGAGATACAAAGAAGAAACAACTAGAAGGGTTGAAATTTTTAGTTTAGAAATAAACTAGAATGAAAGAACAATTACATGTTCTTACATACATATCCTAATAATCCTGTTTCAATTGACTTTGTTTATACAGCAAGAAGAGCATGTTCCTTATACAACCTGTGGAAAGTATGTACGGATCATCTTCTGTACAAGTGCTGTCTTATTCTGGGTAAAATTATTTGGTTCATACTATTTAGAAAGCATTAATTTCTGCTATGACAGTTCCTTGAAAGGGCAAAAAATATGTGATCTGTATTTAAATGGTAATTACTGCAATGGTATAATTGCTTCTTTTTACAGAGTAGATTTGCTTTGGAACACAGCACTCCATGTAGAAGGCCAACATAAACAATCTACTGTAGTATAAACAATCTAGTATCGTATATGTGTGTGTGTGTATCTAAGTGTATCAATTGTTATAAGTTGAGGATTACATGTGTACACACACACACACACACACACACATTCCTCAACTTATGACAATTGAGCCCAAAATTTATGTTGTTAAATGAGAAATTTGTTAAGTGAGTTTTGCCCCATTTTACAACTTTTCTTGCCACAGTTGTTAAATTAGTAACATGGTTGTTAAGTGAATCTGATCTCCCCATTGACTTTGCTTGTCAGAAGGTCACAAAAGGATATCACATGACTCTCAGACACTGCAACTGTCATGAATATGAGTCAGTTGTCAAGCATCCAAATTTTATTCATGTGATGCTGCAGTGATCATAAGTGGGTTTTTTCAGTGCCATTGTAACTTCGAATGGTCATTAAATGAACTGTTGTAAGTCAAGGACTACCTGAATATACCAAAAGGCATACACCTAACACACATACATATACATATTCATATATGTACATATAAGCATACTTAAATGCCCATACATATACCTGCACAGTTTGTCTCTTTTTCCCTTACTGGCAGTCTGGTACCTTTTTGTTGGACCTCTGTTTCCTTTTGTTTTTGTTTTTCTTATTATTTTCTTTTCATTTTGTTCTTATTTCTTATTTCTTTCTTCCTCTTGATACACTTAGGCTTACAATAACTTTATTGTCACTTTGTTGCATAGAGTTCTCAAAGGGTCTCCATCTCTAATATACACTACAGTTGTACATCAGAGTTTTTAGCTTAATTTTATGCATAAGATGGGCCATAAGACACATGACAGGAAAAGATTTTATGAAGTTAAACATATCACATATGTACAATAAAGAACATGTTCTGCTATTTACATAATGCAATCACCTGGATTTAAACATAATGCTACGTCTTTGGTGCAAAATACTCAGTTTTCACCTCATAATAACAGAAAAAGGAAAGTCAATTCCAACTGACAGTTGATACTTTAGAAATACAGTACAGCAATCTTTGGATTAGCTGATTTAGTTGTGTTTGTGTTTGTAAGTGAATAAACAGATGTTATGCTTTTGCAAAAAAAGTTATTTGCTCTTCCAATGTGTTCTCAGGAAAAATATATTGTACTTAGAAGTCTCTGTTTTAAACTTTAGTGTTTTCTTCAATATTTTTTTTTAAAAAATTATTAAGCTCATTATTGCATGCAGTGAATGCAAAGTGAATGATTTTAAAGCTAAATCATATTCCTTTTTTTCTCCATTTCCTTCTCTCATTTATTTGTTGCTCAATTTGTATGGTTCAGTATCAAAAAATGCTAAACTGTTTTAAGCCACTTTCAAAAATCTTGCCAAGAAAAAACTTCAAAGACCTTTCCAGGCAGATGGCAGGAATCATTGACTTGAAGGCACACAGAGTATCTTGTTACGGATTAATACCTCTTTTCTGCCTGTTCATTTCAGTTAAATAGTTTTTAATCTTCCATATTTCTGCTTCAATTAAAAAGTAAGATAATGTAAGCTGAGCATGAAAAATATTGTGGAATGCCCAAGAAAACAGCTTCAAATGGGGGAGGGGGAGTCTTAGTTGAAAAATGACTTTCAAAAAGAAAAAAAATAGAAAAAAGGGTAACAGCATAACACAATAATAGAATAAGAGAGTTGTAAGGAACCTCGGATTAGAAATCTTCCAATCCAATCCCCTGCTCAAGCAGAAACCCTATATCATTTCAGACAAATAGGTATCTAATCTCTTCTTAATCTCTTCTTAACAACCTTCATTGTTGGAGCATCCCCAACCTCTGTAGGAAGACAAATTTTGGAGCACAGAGAATAGAGCATATACAATGGTTATTTTTCAGGTTGTCATTTCCTGGGGTAACTTTTGGCTGTTGTTTAATAGATTAGGATAAGTCTGTGGTGACATGATGCCACCTACACCCAATGATTCATAGTGTTCAATGGATGGGAAATAATTTTGTGTTTCTATAATGTAGTCCTCACTAAGCTAAAAACAATAGGTTCAGGGTACTAAAATGATTTTTTTTCTTGCAGTTTAGGAAGTGAATTCTAGAGAGAAATATAATTTCTTCTAGAATTTAATTGGGAGTCTCTTAATGAAATTTTTAAAAATGGGCATGCTTATTGAGGTAGTTGTTATGTTTAGGAAAGTATGTAAGAAAGTAAGAATGTATCTTATGTCTTTTCCTTTTAGATTCTGCTCATTCTTGCATCTGTTGTTGGTATAATTGTTTACAGACTTTCAGTTTTCCTAGTATTTTCTGCAACATTGCCAAGACACATCAATGGAGCAAACACAATACAAAAGTACCTGACTCCACAATTAGCAACTTCAGTATCTGCTTCAGTGCTCAACTTCATCATTATTATGATTCTGAACATTATCTATGAGAAAGTAGCAATCATGATTACTGACTTTGGTAAGGTTATAATAACATTCAATACAATATCAAGAGTAAATGTATTAAGCAATACCAGTAACCTGTCAAAAATAGCTTCCAACATTGAAAAGTAAATTCCTTAAAGCAGCAGCAATATTTTCCAGGCAAATGAAGAAATCTAAAAAAGGTTGAGTTGCTTTTGTGAATATCTGAGTGTGCTGTCTTCATCTTTGTGCCCGGTTTAAAAGTCTTCTTTGGAATCTTTGAAGTGTGCACAGTTATCAATAGCAATAGCACTTAGACTTATATACCACTTCATAGGGCTTTATAGCACTCTCTAAGTCAGGGGTGTCAAATTCAAGGCCTACAGGCTGGATGAGGCCCACAGGGTGCTCAGATCTGGCCTATGGGGCTGCCCTGGGAACAGCAAAGGACAGGCCTGCAGTGCCTCTGCCAGAGAAATCCATTTTCAGCTGCAATGGCCTCCTACAACCCTCTGCCAGCGAACGGAGCTCAGGAGGATTGCATAGTTTTGCTGGCAGAGCATTCAGGCCACCACAGATACCACCGACACGAGTGATGTTGAGATGGCCACGCCGACCCTGGCACGCCCCACACCCACCCAAGGTCAAACACAACCCTGATGCAGCCCTCAATGAAATCGAGTTTGACAGCCCTGCTCTAAGTGGTTTACAGAGTCAGCATATTACTCCCAACAGTCTGAGTCCTCATTTTACCAATCTCAAGAGGATGGAAGGTTGAGTCACTCTCAGCCAGTCAGGATCAAACTTCTGGTTGTGGGCGGAGTTAGCATGCAGTTCTGCATGTGCCGCCATGGCTCTTAGTAGAATGCCTATGCTAAACGATGCTAGCCAGAACGCCATCAGGGTTCTGACCGAACCTCATGAGCCTCAGGCCAAGCTTCAAAAGAAATCCAGTTATTTATTAGGAGCTTCATGTTGGCATGGATCAAGTCAAGCCAACTCTGACCCCACTTAATTCGCACATTTCCCCCCAAGATGTGTCATCAGTCACCTTCCCCAATGAAGCAATTTCGTGGGTTGTAGAAGTCACTCCCTCCGGCCACTGTGGGTTTCCATGCAGATGACCTTGATGTTGCCAGCTGGAATGTGCTTTGTTTTGACTGAAATGCAAGTTCTTTGATGCAGCTGAGAGGTTTGATTCCCCATCCGCCTTGCCTACAGCAATTCAAGAGCAGGTCAGGGATGCTTCGCAAGTTGACAAATGCACATGTATAACATCAGTTGATCACATGATAAAAGAAGAACAGGTAGTAACATAGTAACAATATAGTTAATAGTAACAGTTATATGTTTGAATAGCCCAAATAATGTTATTTAAGCTATATATAACACAATATTTTTGCCCCAAAATTGCTCTTGGATTAACAATATCTCTCTCCTTTGCTTTTAAACTGCAGAATTACCAAGGACACAGACTGATTATGAAAATAGCCTAACTACGAAAATGTTTTTATTTAAATTTGTCAACTATTATTCTTCATGTTTCTACGTTGCTTTCTTTAAGGGTAAATTTATAGGTTTCCCTGGTGAACCAGTTTATTGGTTGGGAAAATACAGAAATGAGGAGGTATGAATGAATAAATCTTGCTTTATAGGTATATTTCAACTGGTAACTATTAAGCTGATTGCACTTTTTTCCTCTTCACCTTTTTGGAACTGTGGCAAAAACTGTGACTTCTCTGAGTTCAGGTGGACTTGGCAACTGTAGATGACTAAGGTGGGAGAGCTAGGCAGAATTACAGAATTTAACAGAATAACAGAATAACAGAGTTGGAAGGCACTTTGGAAGTCTTCTAGTTCAATCCCTTGCTCAAGCATGAAACCCTATACCATTTCAGACAAGTGGTTGTACAATTTCTTCTTAAAATCCTCCACTTTTAGAGCTCCCACAACTTCTAGAGCAGGGTCTTCAAACTCGACAGCTTTGGGACTTGTGGACTTCAACTCCCAGAATTCCTCCTCCAGTCATGTTAGCTCAGGAATTCTGGGAGTTGAAGTCCACAAGTCTTAAACTTGCCAAGTTTGAAGACCTTTGCTCTAGAGCCGTGATGGCAAACCTATGGCACGTGTGCCACAGATGGCACGCAGAGCCATTTGTACCAGAATGCGAGCCTCAGGCAAACTTACCTCACCACTCATGCACAAGCTTCACAGCTGATTTTTTGGCTGGTTTGAGGCCTTTTTGGCCTCCCAGAGGCTTGAAAAAAGCCTCTGAGGGCTTTGCAGGTCGAATAATAGGCCCATTTAGTCACTTACTATAATACCAGAAGTGACGAAAGGGGCCTATTATTCAGCTTGCAAAGCTTGCAGAGGCTTTTTTCAAGCCTCTGGGAGGCCAAAAATGGCCTCAAACCAGGGATAGGATTCTACCGGTTCTGTCCACCTCTGTAGAACCAGTTGCTCTGAACAGCAGCAGACATAGGGCCGGTTCTGTGTCTGCTGCTGTTTTGGCCCACCTGCCCGCCCAGGCTCTTACCTGTCCTTTATTTCCTGCTTTTTCAACATCAGCTGCTTTGTGCGGCACAGCTGCAGTTGAAAAAGCAGGAAAAAAGGGCTTTTCCAACCGCTGCACACCCTCACACAGTGCTGCTCAGCTGTCCGGGCAGCTCAGAAGGTCGTAAATTGCACTCGTTTGACTCACGCATGCACACGCGATGCAGAGCAACAGAACCAGTAGTTATACTGGTCGGATCCCATCCCTGCCTCAAACCAGCTAAAAATCAACTGTGAGGCGCAGTGCAGGTAAGGGGGCGGTGGCAGGGGGATTGCACACATTGCCTTCTGGGTGCTGGCACATGAGCATGCACACACGAGCATGTGCACAATTTTTGGCACAGGAGCCCAAAAAGGTTAGCCACCACTGCTCTAGAGGCAAGTCATTCCACTGAGTAATTGATCTAACTGTCAGGAAATTTCTCCCTAGTTCTAGGTTGGCTTTCTCCTTCATTAGTTTCCATCCATTGCTTCTTATTCTGCCTTCAGGTTCTTTGAGGAATAGGCTGACCACCTCCTCTTTGTGGCAGCCCATTAGATATTGGAATACTGCTATCATGTCACCTCTTTTCATTAAACTAGACATACACTAAAAGTCTATTTAATGCCAAAAGTCCAATAATCATCCAGTTTAATTTCCAAGCCTTTTGTAATCAGATATTTTCCTCTAAATTTTCCACCTCCAAATTAATTCATTTCAATGTTCAAAGCCAATTTCATAAATTCAAATTTTCTTTTCACTCTGGTCGCCACTTTTACACACTTTCATCAAAAACAGTTCTTTATTTCTTAATTCCGGGGTACCTTAATGTTGATGTATATTGCCTGGTTCACACATCATTCACAACTTCACCGCTCCAGCACAATCTTAGTTTCCCGGACTGCCTCTCATCTTCATGGTGGCTATTTTAGACCACCACTGCAACATCTTTAGAGGGGGTTTATCTTGTCAGGGAGGGGAGATATGGCTCCCCTCAACCCTCCCCCCTTTCTTCACCACCCCTCCAGGGTCATTCCAATCCCAATCAGGACCCTCCAACAAGCGAGCACAGAGAGAAACTGTGCATGATTTCAGATTCCGCTCCGACACAACAGAAGAACAACCGGAAGTCCATTATCATGATTTTCCTGGGAAATATATAATGTAGTAGTCTTCCCTTTGCTTTCTACACCACTGTGCATGTGCTGTTCAAGTGGCTGCCACCACACCATGTGCTGTTCTTCAGAAGCCGTTCTCACCAATATGGCCTCCACCTTCAGTTAATACTGATGAGCCAGCTGTTACTCACCAGGCCTGTTAGTCCATGGGAGGTATTTGATTCCCTCCAACCTGCCATTACAGCATAAAGGCACACTGGGTAGGGGTCCCCAATCCTCCACCTGGGGATGCGCTGTCAGGGTTCCAAATAATAATCCCATAGCAAGCAAAACTCCAAGGCAGGTGAATTCCTCAAATAATAGCTTTATTGGAAATATCATATTGGCACAGATCTGGTGAAAACTGACTCTAAAGACTCCTGTGGTTTTCACCTAATTAAAAGTAAACCTTTTTTTTTGTCTTTCTCAAAACAATCAGTCACATGGTCCAATCACGGTGTGGTCTGACAACTGCATAGCATCACTATGCCTTTCTCCTACCAGATATGAGAATGTTTTGGCTACAGAATCCCTTCATTCTCAAATCTCCCCCATTCTGCAGCTCCAGTGTGGCAACACTGAAACTGTGAAAAATGCTTCAGTCAGGTCAGCTTCAGGGTTGACATGCACTCTGGGGAGGGTTCCAGGCTCCCCTTGAAAGCAAATGCTTTCAGGGTTGTCGTTTTTGTATTTTCTTATCCAGCTTCTTCTGAGTCTGTCTTGTGTTTTATGACCTTCTTCTCTTTTTGTATATACCTTGTATGGTATGGAATCTCTTTTCTATTCTTTGTCATATGTGCGCTCTATTTTGGGATGCGAAACTGAAGCCACAGCTAAACTCAGAATTCTTGGTTAGTAGAATGTGTGTGTGTGTGTGTGTGTGTATGTTTGATGGATGGATGGATGGATAAATAGATAGACAGATATAGACACACAAACACACAGACACACACACGCACTATGAAGCTATAACACAAAACACTAAAAATGCTTTAGTCCTCTTCCTGAAATGCTCACCACCAGCCATAGGCACTGTGGCTTTACTTCAACACCTGGATAAAAATCTAGCTCTTTACTGGGCACTATACTGATGACAAGGAATTAAGCTCATTACTTTGCTTAATCATCATTAATTTGAATTAATTCTGAAGGACAAGTAATAAGCTTTGTTATTATATCTTTTAGAAAAGGGATTAAATAAAAATATCTGTCATTAGTTAGAACTAGATAGGGCAAGCAAGCAATATATTATTGAATTATCAACTTTGGGGCAACAAACACAATATGTCTATGGAGATTCTCAGCCTTCCAGGTCATGGTTATACAATAGCAATAGCACTTAGACTTATATACTGCTTCACAGTGCTTTACAGTCCTCTCTAAGCGGTTAACAAAGTCAGAATATTGCCCCCAACAATCTGGGTCTTCATTTTACTGACCTTAGAAGGATGGAAGGCTGAGTCAACCTTGAGCCTGGTGAGGTTTGAACTGCCAAACTGCAGGCAGACAGCAGACAGCAGAAGCAGAGGCATCCTGCAGTACTGCATTCTAACCACTGTTCTACCATGGCTCACCCTTATCCCAAAGTTGCTTTTTTAAAAAAAACAATGTCTTTGTTTTTCCTTGAAGATGTTTCACTTCTCATCCAAGAAGCTTCTAGGGCTTCTGAAAACAAGATGGTGGGTTAGAGATCTTTTAATCTGTCTCTTTTTATATTCTGATTTGGGGTATGTAATTTTAGGCCAGCTAATTTCATTACTGAACATTAAAACTGAAAAAATAGATTTCCAGTATTCTTCAGTGCTCAGTTTAATATGCTAGGTTGAACAGAAAGTTATTGTCTGAATAGTTGGTTAAAATTGACTAAATACAAATATATATGTACTTCCAGTTAAGCAGATTTTAGTATAAAATATTTTCATAGAATTTAGCATAATTTAATTAAGAAACTATTATGAACTTCATTTTTTGTGGGAGCAAGTTATAACGTACTTTATCCCCCCCCCCCACCTTCCCTGGTCTTCTTTCACGCTTAGTGTGATCCAGGTGGATGTCTTCTTGAGCTGACAACACAGCTGGCAATAATAATGGGAGGCAAAGCCATCTGGAATAACATTCAAGAAGTGCTTTTTCCGTAAGTAAATAGTATTGATAGCAGGAGTTGGAAGAAATTTGAAGAACCGGTTTGCACTGTATCTGACCAAAAAGCAATCCCTGAATTAAGAAACAGAGCTTAATCAAGAAAATAGATTTAATTGTCAAATGCTCAGAAAAACAGTGAAGATCTAGGAAATACTCAGAAAATAAATAAAAAAGAGAATTAAATGATTTTTTTAAAATTAGTAGTACTATATCTTGTACTTACCTTGAAGTCAACTAAATCTATTACTCAGTTTGAGCTAAATTAGGGCACTCCCATTGGGCCCCCAAAATCCAGGTAATCTAGATGATAACAAAGAGATACAGAAAACCATAAGCTCTTGTTATCATTTTGTGGTTATCTGAAGTTTTGCAGCCCAGAGTTGATAACTAATATGGAGTGATTTGGGATATTTTTTTTAAATATATTTTTATTGTTTATATATAGATATACTGAATACAGTGTAATTGGCCATGGCATTCCAATTGCCTTAAAGCAGAAATAAAAACAGAATAACATATATACTATTTTAAACAGTGCTAGTGTTGTACAATAGTTTCTGACCATCACATCACATGTCAACTCATCTATCGTTCTAATTGTTAGGGATATACACCCTAGCAGAACATGCAACGGCAGTTAGTCAGGCAGGCAGATATGTGAGATAAACGTTGTAGCTTACACTCAGTAAAACAGATACACTGTGCCAGTTAAATAGTTTTTATTCCAGTCAGAGTTATAGCATAGTCAAACAGTCCATATATCATACACTAGTTCAGTCCATCCGGGTATTAATCAGTTGCAAAGTCCAGTGTCGAAAAAGAGGTCAGTAAACTTACAAATAATCAGTCCAGTAATATATCTCTTTTGCAGTTAGAGATATGAAGAAAATCAAACCTCTTTTCTTCTCTCAGCAATAGCAGGGAAAAAACACAGTTATCACCATCAATCCATCATTGTCAGCAATCCAGTAAAAGCCAGCAAACAGTGAGCTCTCTTGCTCCCTCTTATGGTGATTTTACAACCGCACCCAAAATACATGTTTTACAGTTAAATTGATACACACACTTAAACTCACTAACATAGTTTATATATATTATTTTACCCAAACTAAGTTAGGTAACCAATGTTATTCCTAACACTAATATTTACATTCCTCTATCAATAATACAAACAGTGTCTCTTTCCAAGTGTCCTCACCTGATTCTTTCACCTTCCAACTTCTACCTTGTATTTCTAACCATTGATGAAACCTATTCCATGTTAAACAGTATTCTGAATCTCCTTTATCTTTTATTTTTAGCATTAGTCTGTTCATTTCCTCACAATCTAATATCTTCCTTATCATCTCATCCTCTGATGGGGTGTTTTCGTTCTTCTACTGCTGCACGTATACAATTCTTGCTGCGGTCAAAACATGTAATATTAAATATATTGTCCCTTTGTCATAACCCTCTGATGTGATACCTAGTAAAAACAATTCTGGTTTAAAATCTATATGTTGTTTGGTCATTTCTTCTAGCCATATATGTATTTGAGTCCAAAATTTCCTTACCTTTAAACAGGTCCACCATATAATGTAATATTCTTCACATTAGACTGTCTACTATTGACCTCACCCCTTTCCTAAGAGGTCTGTAGGGGGCATGCATCAGCGCACCAAAACGTGCCTACCGTCCCTTTCCTATTATTTCTTTTTCTTCTTATTCATATCCATTTCATGTATTTATAACCATGTTTATACTTATACCTGTTATGTAATAATTGTTTAACAAAATAAATAAATAAAATAAATAAATATGTTTGATTGTTTACATTTCCAACAGGTTGGGGACATATTTTTAAACGTTTTAGCTAATCTCGCCGGGGGAAGATGCCACCTATAGAACATTTTATAGAGATTTTCCTTATAAGATGTGGCCATTGTCAGTTTCCAATTTTTCTCCCAAAACTTTTGCCATTTATCCAAATCTATACTATGTCCAAAAATTTTGGCCCATGCTATCATCATCTCTTTAACTTGTTCTTCTTCCATTTAGAATAGAATAGAATAGAATAGAATAGAATAGAATAGAATAGAATA